GAACTCTGGTGTCCAGTCTCACTAACCTTCGTTTACGTATCGCTGACGCGGAAATTATACGCGGTGTATCTATCAATTCTGTTCCACGGACTCTTCCCTCTTCCGTGATAGTGATCGTCGGTGAATCGCGGGCCTGGAACCCTTGCCGGCATATCAATTACGCGAATAATTGAGCGTCCGCGGGTCTCGGCTTCTAGAAGTTCCCGTGTTTCAGCAAATCATTGGAAAAAAGAACGTTGCGGATACGTCGTCGACAGCATCCTAAACGATTAGAAACAATGATCTCCGGTGTAACGAAGCAGCAATTTTCAGAATTTTCGCGATATTCCATTTTTTTCTTCATCTTATACATGAAATTCGTTATAATTTGATATTTACATCGTTGTTCGGAAATTATTCTGATTACTGGTAGTTAATTGGTGTCTGGCGAGATGTACATTAATTGTGAAACAGCCGGTACAGTCTGATACGGATTTCTAGATCTGTACGTGAGCAGATCTCTTTCTCCGTAGGAATTCTTCCTCGTTCTCACGCGCACGCTGCTCGAAAAAATAAAGGAATAAAAGAAAAGCAACTCTCACCTCAGCCTTTTATCTCGTGAAAAGGAAAAAGCAACTTTAGGGGATTAGAGAAAATTACTGAATTAAACAGCGGTTGCAGATAACTGTGCGAAATTGAGTTGCCAGCTAACAAAAGTGCATTCCTATCGCGCGAGACCAAATTAAATGACACAGTGAAATTTATAATCATCCGAGGTATCTAAAAACAGACTGTGGAAAGCGCAGCTGCCACTTTCTTTCTAAAATCGATGTTTTTTTGGTCCACATAACCGAATGTTTGTACACTGCTCGAGTCAATTCGACCAAGAACAGTCCTCTGCGTTCAACTACAATTCCTTCTGCTGCAATACATTAATCAATTGAATATTAACAGTTTTTATGTTAATATGCATGCGAGATAACTAAATTGCGATCGAATCAAATTCTCAAAATACGAGCGCCCCTGGAACAACCCACGATTCAAGTAGCTGAAACTGCAATTGATCTTTGCAGAAATGCAAATTTGCATATGTTAGGTATTGAACCCAGCGTTGAACCTGCCGCTGGATCTCTCCGGCATGATCTCAGCCGTGCATACGCGGCTATGCGTCGCCCACTAATATCTGTGTCAGGCATAGTGAATCGAGATATACTTTCCCTGCTTTCGCGCGTATCCACTGTCCAAGACGAGTTCGCTAGCAATTGAGCATTGTCCGGGTGGTAGACAGCAGTGAAACCGGAACTCGTGAAAGTTCCAAAAAGATCGACGAGACGGGAAAATCGTTGCCGGTGTGCGCTCACGGTGGTGATACAGTCGTCGGCGGGTTCTGCTCGAACGATTTCTGCTGTTTCTATGCGGGTCGCGTATCGCAGCAACGACAGCAATTTATGAAACACCCCGTAGATCCTACGCAAACGATTCGCGACGCTTTCGACTGGCCGTATCGCGCCGTAACTTCGGAAATAAACGTTACATTTGTATGAAAAAGAAAATCGGTGTCCTCTCTCCGAAGAATTTCTAAATGGATCCACAAAGTTGAAATTCGACACGTTCGTTAGTTTCGTCGAGAGAAACTAATTTTCACAAAAATTTCATTCATTTATTTAACCAACAGGCTAGCGTCGGTCAACGACCTCCCGAACTTGACAACAGCTGCAATTAAGAAGATTTTCATTTAAATGTTGACGGAGCGGATACGGCTTACGCCCGATGAGTATGTTTGTCATACCGCCGTGTGGTTGATTTGTGTCTTGCAGGAATTCTTGATGGAATTGCCATAACTCAGTTCAGGTAGCCAGTATCCACTGTTTGCCGACGGGGATCCACCGTGAAATTGACGTTCGTCGAAGAAGGGTCAAAACAAAAATTGTGCAACCGCGTCTCTTCGTTGTTCGATCGTATAATGAATGAGGAGGCATATGCGAAAAAAACCGGTTTCCAGTCTCGTGCTGAATCATACCTAAAACCTGTCCGCTTCTCTTTCACGTTCACATTCTGACCGGTGACGTTCGAGCGACACACGTGCGACGGAGAAACATAACAATCTCGCGTTGAAACGGACTCCGGCTATTTTTCCGCGATATCGTGTGCAGGGATTCGGTGTTAGCTTATTCCGTTCCGGCGCTGTTACGTCCGTTTTCTGGAAACTCCGCTAATCGGTCGCGTCAATTGCGCGATCAGTTTTTACCACAAGCATCTGCATTTTCCAAGCCTTCGTATGTCACGATCGTCGTGTTACCGATTGCATACTGAGAAATCTGTTCAGTGAATTTACAAGTTTATTTTTCTCAGAATTTTGGGCTCTGGACGACCATCAGGACTGGCAAATGAATTTGAATCTGGGTATCCGAGCCTTTCTACGACTAGCAAGTTGATCAAATCTGCTGGTTAGCTACATCAAGCTGGCCGCAGACGTAATCTAGCAAAAACTAATAGGTAGATAGATAGATATTAATTTTTGATGAGGTGTTTGCAGCTTGCAAAAAACCGCCGCTTTACACCGTCCGGTTTATTGAATAATAATTAAAAACTAATTTATCAAGAACTTAGTTACTCGGACCTCGAGCGACCGGTAATCACATAGTAATTTCAAGATACAGTTCTCTACAGACGTCCATTCTAATCCAGGGCCATGCAAACAGCCCAAGGCCCCAGATTTCGATCGGCCCGAATCGAAGAACACCAGCCGCCGACTATCCCCGCGAGCGTTCTCACTGACTAGACATGAAAATCACCGACTTCCGAGGCTGCATGAAACCCGGGAGAAATTTAGGACGAGACATCGCGACAGGATGCTCGCCGCACCGCACCGCTCGGTTTCTGCTCCGTCCCTCCACCGGACCCTCGTCTTTCCATGTTCGCCGCAAGTCGAAGACCTCGGCGAAGAAACGAACGCAATCCTGGTTCGACGTGCCTACGCGTGGGAAACAAACGCCGAATTACAAAATCCGCGGGACACGAAAGTGGCCGGTCGAAGGAGGCTCGCGTAACAGAAATGCGCTTACGCGAACTCGTGCGTTTCGTGCGAACCGACGCGATGTCGCACAATGAGAAATCCCTCGTTTTCCCCTGGCTCTTACGTGTTTCCACTTGTTGCCGTTGACCGAGTTCCGGCCTCTGCATCCCGATGAAAAAAGATCTCTGCCGTAGACGGAGCAAACTGGACAGACCAACGCAGACGTGGACAGACTAAACTAGACTCGAATGACTTGGAAACGTTACTTGCTTCGAGTCTTTGATGAAAAATCATCCTTCGGGATCATTGTTCAGAACGCGAGTGATATAAATGTGGATTTAATGCTCTTGCTTTTAATTCTGGATGTTGCGAACTTCTTTTAAATCAAAATCAAATTCTACTCTTCGTTGATCAATATTTAAACATTAAAGTTAAGCTTGGCATACGAATGCAAGGGGTTGATAACGATATATTTATCTAACAGTTTCTTTTTTCAATGTAATTTTTAAAGCACGCAGCGTATGCGTGTGGAAATTTCAATGAATCGTGAGAAACTAGATGCTCGAGTAAGAATATCGGAACGATTGAAATTGTTTGTGACGCTTTCTAGTGCATCAGGATGCATTTAAGATCCACAGAGAGCGTGTACGGAGAGCAATATTCGAATTGGATGTGGAAAGCGCCGGCTCATAATCGAAATCGCTGGAAAAAAAATGTTGTTATCGCCGGTCGATTGAGACGTAAATGGCCACGAGAATACGCTATCCTTCGCTCTCGACGATTCGCGACAGAAGAGGACGGACAGCTTTGGTCTCGACCGTGGCTGGCACCGCCATCCTCCTATCCCTTCTCATTCTATCGAATCATCTACGATCGCCGATCGCGCTTCTGTCTCCATTCCCCACCATTCTGTCTCCGATCTCTAGCTTGTCTGGTTTCCAGTCTTCGCACATGTGTGTGGTATCTCTTTCTAATCTTCTAAGATCGCACCGGTAGTCATTGGTTCTTCAAAAAAGAAACCGATCTTCCGTTATGGTGATTAGTCTCTCTTGAAAGAACGAGGCCTTGGCGCGGCCGTTGGCAGAGCTTTCAGCCTTGGGAATCACGACGAACATTTAATCTCGGTGCAACTCTGGACTCGCGACGTTTATCTCGTTGCATTCGAAATTGCATCGAATTTTCGTGTACGAAGCTTGGATCTTTCATTCTCATTTTGTAGTTTTCATACGAGAAAATAGGAACTCGATGAAGAAACCGACGAAGTTTGAGTCGAATCGACGCTTTTATTGCGTCGTACTTGAAACGATGCTGTTGAATTTGCATGGAGTGCAGTTTCGTTGTTGATATCCCCACGTTATCTGCAGAAAATGTGCAATTCACATGGTCAATAAATAAACGCATCGAGATTACGTAGGAACTCTTTAAATCGTTCTATATTTTCATTTTTCTATGAAAATCTGCCATTCCTGGATCAGCGTCTTTTTGCCTTGAGTTTGCTATTTGTAAACCATTCGTGACGTTGTGACTTTTTCATTCACCAATTCAGAAGTTCTTGTATTTATTGTTTCAATCGTTAATAATTTGTTGTTAACATTTCGCTGTTAAACCTTTGCTGTTCAACATTTCCTATCACAGTTTTCCATTTAAGAAAACGTATTCAGCGTGCACCAACCTACCGCGAAGCGATGCAATTTAAATGTTGGACAACTCGCAGGCTGTTCCTGCCAAAATACCGCAGGAATTCCAGTAAACCGTCGAGACAATGAACGGATGAAGACGGTGCTCAAGGGGAACTTGCAGTTGGGACATCTCTAATAGCGATCAATTGCGAACGCGAACGAAAGTGGATGAGGAGGACCATGGTCTCGGCCGTGGCTGGTACCACCACGTATATCAGACCTCCTTCTCGTTCCACCGAATAATCTACAGCACCGATTCCCGACTCCCACGACTGGTTCCGCCAGTCGAGTCGGTCGAGATCGCTCGCGCTCGGCCTGTACCGATACCATTCGCCACTTCCAGGCCTGTCTTGTCCCGGGCTTGCTTCGGTTTCATTCGGTTAATAAACGCGCGCGTCGATCAGTCCATCACGAGCCGTCGCGTGGCTCGGGTTCTTTAAACTTTTCATCCTCTGACTCGCTTCTCTTTCTCTTCCTCCTTTCTTTTCTTCATCGATCGGACACCGAATCGGGCATGTGTCGCTAGTTTGGCTACGTTCGACGCCCCCTTTTTTGGATATTAGTGATCCGGAAGCTGAACCCTCGGTGAGTCGAATTTATTGACAAGATTTTGTCGAGCAGATTTTATACTTTTATCGAATATTTTTATTCTCTGTCGGTGAATCTTGTTGAACCTAATTTGATATCGCGTTCGATATTGATTTTGATACTGCTTGAAAGATTTGAGGGAGTTTCTTTCGTGGATTAGATTTCTATGTTGTGGAGATTATAATAATATATAGTTGTCGTTTCTGAAGAATTTTTTTGTTCGTTTTTTAAAAGAATTTATATGAATTTCACAATTTTTTAACCGTTTTACCGAACTTTGAATGAAGGTACACCGTGATGGCTTTACACCGTCGAACCAGCTCCCCGTTTCTGTTCCACCAAACAGCTGAGACAAATCATACATCAAGTTTTCGAGTGTCGTTGTAAAATGGAAGTTTCAGTCTTCAAATTCATAGCCGAATCGATCGCGAAACAATTTTTTCAGCGTTTCTACAGACGTCTCGTTTCTTAGGACTTTTTAAGAAAAATATATCTTTAGATTTCCATTCGCCATACCATGCAAAAAAATGTTAGAAAGAAATGAGCGACAGGGTGCAAAAGTAGACGTTTCAAGCTTTGAAATGAGTCGAACTTTGCCATTGTACCGTTCCTTTTTACGAAACGGTGACTGTTTAAAGATCAACAATTTTCCAAAAATCGAAAAATTCTTGTAACATTTTTATTGTTTCATCGCCTATCCATTTATAGCAAAAATGCATAAAATCCGGAGCGTACCAACGACAAAATGCGTAAACTAGAACTGTCGTCAAGTGGGAAACAGGCTTAACGTAACTCGTTATTCAGAAACTGTGCTGTCCGCCGAGTCTTGTCGAGTTCGCGGCGTGTCTTCGCTCACAGACTCGCCTTTGTTGGAATGTTTAATTGCTGGAGGAACGGTGCCATTGTGCGGATTCGAAAGTCATCGTCCCCTACCTGTTCTTCCGTAATTAATGGATCCAACTAACTGTTTGATCGCGGTCTGGGAAAACAATTGTCGACGATCTTGTTTATTGTCGTGAGTCACCGAATCCGTCTCAACGGCATAGTTTTCTAAATGTTTGCTCGGAATGTTGAAGCTCCGGTTATTATCCTTCTCCTCGTGCCGCGATAAAGTCATTTGCTCTCGTGATTTGAAAACTCTGCGATCGTACCGTCGTAACTCGAAACTGCAAACTTTGATCGAATCGACTCGCCATTGATTAATCATTCGACACACAGTCGGTGTTTTATAAATATTTCGCATGCGATTTCGAACGCGTTCTTCTCACTACGAACGTTATTCATCTGCTCCAATTACAACTTCTAAGTTAGAAAAATTGTTAGAAATGAAGTGTTTAAAACGTCTATTACGTATGAACATTCACTTATCGAAAACATCGTGGAATTTTGAGGACGAGGCAATCGTGTCTGTTTGGAGATGAAATAATTGTACCTGGTTAAGGATGAAATAATCGTGCATGCTCGAGGATGAAATAATTGTGCCGGCTCGAGGATGAAATAATTGCGCCTGCTTGAGGATGAAATAATTATGTCTGTCCGAGGACGAGACAATTGTATCTGTTTGAGAACATTCGCTAGACGATGCGGTTATGATAGAAGAAGGGAGGAAAAGGGGCATCGCAGCGCGGTTTCACTTTTCATTGACTAACTCGCGGCAGCGGCGTGGTCACGAAATGTTTGCACAGGCGAGATTACGTTATGGTTTTTGTAAGTGAAATCCCCGGCTCTTCTCTCGAACGTTCTACTTTCTAGCAGTGCCGGCCGCTATTTGCTTTCTTGCATGCGTAGAAATTGCCCGCGATTGATCGGGCCCGCCGCTGGAATCCGCGGCGGGACGATCATAGTCGTGGAAAATTCGAAACTCGCGGGTCCGTTTAGCTGGCGGTGCTTAGGATCGGTGCGGCATCCTCGGCTGACAGTAATTGTCGAGATTTGTCGTGTCTATAAATTAACGCTGTCTCCGTTAATGTCCAGAATCACGGATCCCCGGTCTTTCGAATATGCGACCGCCTGCGATCATAATCGTCGAGTATTATTAAGATTCTCTGTCGGCCGGGGAAATGTATGCGCATCTGCTAAATCGTGAATACGCGGAGTTCGTGCTGCGTGCAACAGAAAAATTGTCCGCTTCAGAAATCATATTAACAGTTCTTTCTTTATTTTCAGTTGCGTTACTTTCAATTTTGCTAGCTTAATTGCACCGTTTTGCAGTCCAACTGCAACTCCGTTTGCAGGAAAATTGACTGCAGCGAACAGTCTACCGGTTTACAGATTTCAAGCTTCTTCTATTTGTCCTTTATTTCTATTTCCTTGCGATCAAATTGTGACATCGTCGTTGAATTGACGATGATTAATCGATCGCATTAATGTCCGTTGAGCGTTCAATGAATCGACGAAATTAAGGCATCGAATACCGAGAAAATTGGATACTAATCAGCGATTCCAGTTTTACAGGAAAATTTAAGATATTATCGAACGTGTAATATGGAAATATAATCTCCACAGATTGCATAATGAAAATGCAGGATGCGAGTTGTTTATTCGTAGGTACGTGCACATTTTAAATTCAGATGCGTTCGTAAACTGCACGTGGAATGGTGCATTCCTCGCCTTTTATTTGATTTGTCCATTTAATTAATTTTCACCTCGCTCTTGCACTTTCAGTTTTCCCTTTACTATCTTAGCTTATTTCGCGATTAGATTCGCAAGAGTTACTCTATCTTCGATAGCCTCTTGCCGAGAATAGAAATTACACGTGCATTTATTGCACGTCTGTATCCCGTGTTGGACAGGAAGCGTGTTGCATTGGTATTTATTATAATAAATGCAGTTTACCGTCTCCGCGAGTTCCGTATGGCACGATGCTGCAGGGCAAAATGTTTACAGATTTCCTTAATTATCGGTGATTATACATTCTTTCTCTAATCCTGCCGCTAGGGATCTTGGAATCAACGAAACAATTTTCCCCCGATTCTCATAACTCTTGGATAATCTGCGAAAATTGGTGTCAGCGTTAAAATTCGCGGTGCAATTATAAATAATTTAAACACTGGGAAACGAACCATGAAATCTCCACTCTATATATGGATCGACCGCTCTGTAAAGCGAAGAAATATTTCACAACCTGTCCCGATCGGATCTCTTATTAAGTCGGTCTAGAGTCTTTTCCGCGGCGGTCTCGATAGATCCCACGATCGTTCGAATTAAGGATGACAGAGAATCGTAACAGGTTTCAATCCGGTGCAACGTCCACAGCGTTCTTCTCGCTCTACATAAGCGTTTAAGCGTGCTCGTTAGCAGACCTTTATGCACTTGTCCGCACATTTTCAAAATACAAAGACAAGTCTGACGTCTTTCAATTAAGAAAAGACATTCTCTTTTCTCTACCTTAGCTTCCTCAGAAATGAGAATTTTCAAAAAGATCCGCTGTCCACTCCTTGGAGTATTCATCCCATGATATTTATACAACAATTTTATTACAGCTAATTTATAATAATTCATAGTAACTTACGAGTTACAATAGTTAGTCATTAATCAGTTTAATGTTTGCCCAACTTTGCATAAAAACAATTTCTATTGAATAATAAGATCGCAATGCTGACAAGATTAGACTCCGATTCTTCTCATCGAATCCAGGGCAACAGGTGTTGCTCATAAAATCATATTCAAACTGGAATCGAACAGAGACATCAAAGAAACGCCAAGTTTCTTGCGGTTCGATCGCAACTCGGAGCTGTTGCCAAGGCGAGAAAAGCTTTTTCCAAGCGATTCTCGAGAAAGTGATCGGTGAAAAATGAACGAGGAATGAGTTGCGTTAGGATCGACGACATCCTTGATAAATCCGTGAAATGCCGGTCGCGATCGACGATCGAACAGCAGTTCTTATCTGTTCTCGTTTCGTTCTTTTCTTTTTCGGGCCGCGACCGAACGGACTACCGGTGGGAAATCATTCACGCTGTGCAGGTCCGAGAGAAAGTGCCAGCCGACTATTTTCTAATTGTCCGCATCCGCTGGAAAAGTAGCGGCAATTACGGTTCACCCTACTGAATCTATAGTTAAATCGTTGATTAACGGCGCTACACGGATTCGCCGGGTAATGACTCGCGAAACGCGTCAGCGGGATCTTTCTTTTCTTCGTCTCCTCCTCTCGCCATTTCGTTGCTGCCACGCGCCAATGATTTCGCATTCGATTTCACGCCGACGACGAAATTACTTTCGATCTGCCTCGGGGACCATCCACGACCGTTTTCCGTCTTTCCCCTATTTTACGTTCGATCTGCAGTCAATTCTTTCTCATGGAAACAACTCGATGCTTACTCAACCCTTTGCACTACGATTTCTCTTCGCGTCGATTAGCGCTTCTTTGTCCTCAACGATTTCCATAACAAAACGACACAATTTTTAACGTTCAATAATGCATTCGACCTATTCGCTTTTGTCGTAAATTCATAAAATCCGCAGTCTAATAGTAAAGCATTTAGGCGAAACAGCGCAGTAACACGAAATCAGACGTAATACTAGTAAGTTGTGTCTTCGACTTAATAGTCTACTTTGATATCATACCGCCGAGGCCTGTGTCTCTTGATAAGCGCAGAAAAGTTAACGATAGAGTGAACTGTGTCTGTCACATGACCCGGAAGATCGGTCTAAAAAGATCCGAATCTGATTAACGCGATTCGTACAATACAGCTGGCCTCGACGAAGCGAAGCATGATCGAAAAACTATTGGATCCAAGGTTTCGGAGGGAACCTTGCAGCTTTCGAATGCATCGAATGCTGCGGGTTTGAATAACCTATATATGTATATAAAAAGGTACGAACAGATTCGTATCACAAATAAAAGTGTGCCAGCGCAACGGTACAAAAACGCACTAATGACGAAAAATGAAACTTCTCTTTCCACTTCTGATCATTTTAATGCTGCGGCATGCCCTAATTAAGTCAACACCGGTCGTAACTCCAACACCGAGGCTCACGAGCACAAAGTTCAACTCATT